CGGTCCAATTATTTGCCCAAAATAGCCACGCTAAATTTCAAGGATTTCATCGCAATCGGCATTTAATTAAAGTTGGGGCGCCATTAAATCATTGTTAAATGTTCATTGTCATAATTATTTATTGTTTATACGAACTATTTTATGAATAATTTCATAAACTTTAATGAAATCACGTGACTAAGTCTATGATTGGTCAGTGGATAGCGCGGACATTACAGAGACGATTTGAAAATTTGCCGAGATAAAAATCTCAAAAAGAAATCGGAGAATTATTGGTCGGTGAGTCTTTCCTTCAGTGTAAATTTTTATGCTACTTGTTGTTAATGTATTTGTGCACTTAAAGAATGCATTAGAATGTGAATATTAAGTGTAGATTTTACGAAATTCTTGGTATTTGTATCGTAGATTTTTGGTTTGTTTTGATTCAGTTTTCAAGATGGCCGTGCAGCTATCGCTACAGCCTACACATGATGTAAAGCCTTTTAAATATAATAATGTTGTTTAACCAAATGTGTAACAAGACTTTAAGAAGTGTTTCACAGTTTCAGAGTCTTTTTTTAAATATTACGTTTAACATGTTTAATGTGTCAATATCAGGGAATAGGTTATGCACAGTAGCCTCTGCATGGACATGGCGATAATAACAAACAGAAATTCAAATGAACTGTGTGAAATTAAGAACCCTCTATACACTGACGAAAAATGTTTTTTGGACTTTTGAGAAAATTATGTAGTGTAAAGGAGGCTACTTTGAAATAAACTAATCCATTTCTAATATAGGGAGCCTGCCTTCTTTATCCAGGAAAAATCTTTGATTGATTGATTGATTGTATACTGTTTAACGTCCCTCTCAGAATATTTCACTGATATGGAGATCACCATTGCCGGTGAAGGCTGCAAATTTAGGCCTATGCTCGGCAAGGGCCATTGAGCAGGGACTTCTTTGTCGTGCCACACCTGCTGTGACACGGGGCCTGTTTATACGGTCATACGAAAGATTGCCCCATTTAGTCGCCTTTTACAACAAACAAGGGGATACTGAGGACCTATTGTAACCCAGATCCCCACGGGGCGGAAAAATCTTTGAAGACGGTGAAGTAATGACAAAGAAAAATTGCTTTCGATTATTCAAATGGAGAAAATACATGCAAATAAAGTTTTCAATTACTCTATCTTGGTCTAACATATGTTTAGAATACATGGATTTATTTAAAATTTTGTCATACAGTGCAAATTACAATTTATTCTTTTTTTATGTCAAATGGTGGGTCAGTCTAACTACACGCAAATACCCTGAAATTAGGGTGCAATGTAGAGAGGGTCCTTAAATCATTGGTACCAGGTATATGAAGTTTGAAATGTAAATTAAGTAAACATCTCTTTTTAAAAAAAAAGGGGGGGGGTCAATAATTTTTAACATGTTTAAAGTATCAAAATTACAGCATTTATCCAAAATAATTAATTGATTTGAATTTATGTAATAAGTTTACATAAAATCATCTCAACCCCAAGCTCTCCACTTGGTTCATGCCAGGGGAGGGGGGGGGGATATGACACACATCATTTCATTCAGTGACAATGTTTCAATAATATATTTAAAAAATAAGTATGTATATGAATGAGTGTTTGTCAATAATAATGTCACATACTTTCATGAACAAACTTTTTTCTCCAGCAAAAATGTTGTCCCCTGAAGTCATTCTAAACTTGAGAGAAATGCATAAAGGCTATAACTCTGTCAGTAAGTATAAAATCTAATCTGATTCTTGAAAAAAAAATAATGATTAATGTATAAGAGTAAAATTAGTCACCACTTATCAAACTCCATTATAAATTTTAAATTTTCAAGATTTCGCGGGGGGGGGGGGGGGTGGGGTGTGTCCAAATCACTTTTAATTGATTAATTATTTATACATATAATAACACAATAATGCAAATAGGAAGGGAGCCTTTTAAATTTAAAAAGTCATCTCCCCTCAAAATCGGAACTCTTCTACACTAGCATAACTTCGCGGACTACACGTTACGATAATCCAACAAAATAGTGATCAACTTACACGCTGCATTTAAAAATTTTAAAAGAAAGAAACGGTTTGCAATTTTTTTTTTAGATAATAAGCGATTTTATAAAGGGCCTGTTACCCCCCCCCCCCTTTTTTTTTTTAGAAAGCTATACGAATTAGCCAGGCATGTAGCATCGTCTTTAAAATGTAAATAAAAGCACATTTCTTTTTTTTTTCTTTATATTGTTTCTATTTATATAAGTTTAGGTCACGCATGCGCACCAACAAGTAATCTTCAGTACTCTGAAGTTTTGTTGGTAAACAGAAGAAGAAAAAAAGGGGGGGCAGCCAAAGAAATATGTTTTTTCTTAACTGGAAAAGTTGACAAGCAAAGAAAAACCTTGCCCAAGGTGAAAAGCTACTTATTTCAGTACCAGTTCCTTGGCATACAATACTACATTTCCCTTATATAACTTTACCGTAGTATAAACTGTGTGTGTGTTGGGGGGGGGGGGCAACCTGTCTTTCAATGAACATTTTCAATATCAAAAGTAAAACATGAATAACACTTGAGAAAAGAATGTTTTCCGTTAATTAACAAGAAATACGCTAGGAAATTATTGTATCAATTTGATTACATGCACTCAGACTTTATACGACATATGTAACACGAATTCAGGTCGATGCTATTTTAATTAGTCTTTTTCGTTACATGAGCACATAGATTAAATTAAATTCCATTCAAAGTTTTAATACTATACATGCAGTGAATCAATTATTTTACATATAAAAAATGGAAACATAACTCAAATGAAATAGGCCTTTAATTGTCACCAAATGTGTTCTTGTAAGTAAAAGTTCTATTTTGTGACATACAATCAAGCAAAAACGCATGGTATCGGTCGCGGAAGACGAACTACTGCTGTATATGCAGCAATTTTGGAGGTAAAACTGTAGATGGACATGTCATCAATCTCCAAAAAATTCCTAGAGATGCAGTGAAGAAAATATGGCTGCAGCAGGCTAGATTAATGCGTAAAAACTAAAAATTCTTATATTTGTTCTGCACATTTTGTAAATAATGATGATCCGTCTACAGAACATCCACTACCGAAAATTAGCTTCTTTTTTTTTAAATAGGCCTATTCGAATATGCATCAGCATTTTATCAGTAATTTGTTTCTTTTTTTTTTGTAAGAAGGGGAGTGTGTGCCTTATTATACTACTATACAGATTAATACAAATCCAGAAAGAGACTATGAGTGGGCAATTTTACGAATCAGTTAAGATTTATATATTATCACAAACACAATAACATTTTTCCATGACATATGCATTACACTATGAACATGTTTACATCGAGAACGTCCGCGGAAGTGACTTTATTTATAGCGCATGCGTATTAAACACAGTAAAAGAGTTCCCTTCAGGGGAAATAACTCACCTTTTGAAAATGGGGAATAGACCCAGGCATGGATTTCATCTATTTAATCTTTTTGAAAATAATTAAGCATCAAATGTAACTCAGTAAGTGAATTAGCACCAACTTTTTCAGAATTGAAGGAAATGGCATGAAAGAGGAAAGAAGAAATTGCATTGTACATTCAAATGGAGGATCTGTTTTTTTATGGAGTCCAGATGAAAATCACAACTGTACAGCAATCAGGATTTACCCTGGTAAAAGGTGTATTACAAAGCAGAAAATTCTGTGATGGGTTGGAACTCTATGAAAATAATGAAGATAACATGAATTTCAAGTGAACAATGTGTGGGGGAAAAAAAGACAAGAAATGGAGTATATTTTCAGTACCTTTACAATGACTTTGTGTATTAAAATTACTTTATGTATTGTAATATGCCTTAAAAGGTGCATTTATTTTTTATCTTTTTTCTTGCAAAGAATGTATTAAATATCATTATTTTGTTTGAGTTAACAATATTAATTTTTTTAATATAGGGGATTTGTTATATATATAGATTCTTTTTATAGAGAGGATTTTTAAAGAAGTATTTTTCATATATTTTCATGTAGCATCATGCAATAAATTTTTATTTGTACCTGATTATTATTATTGTTAAATTTTTCCTTAATATAGACCTGCCTCAAATGTGCCTATTTGATAGGTACATTATAGGCATACCTGAAGTATACTTTTGGCACACTCTTTTTAAGTACCAATATGATAGAAATGTAGGCATACTTTAGGTAGACTTGTAGGTACATTTTAGGTATACTAATAAGGTACTTATCTGAATGTTTGCATTGTGTGCCAATATTGTGCTTTTTTTGTACCTAAACTGTAGGCATACTTTAAGTATACTTTTGGCACAGTCTTGAAGGTATCTTCTTGGTAGATTTATAGGCACATTTTAGGTATGCCTAGAAGGTACCTATCTGATCATGTGCCAATATTCTCTTTTTTTGGTATGTAAACTGTAGGCATACTTTAGGTATACTTTTGAAGTTGGTATCTTTTAGGTAGATTATAGGCACATTTGAGGCATGCCTAGAAGGTACCTATCCGATTGTGTGCCAATATTGTGCATTTATGGTACCTAAAGTGTGCCTATCATTAGATTTAGGTATACTTTAGGTATGCCTATTGTGTACCAATTTGCTACCTATACTTGTACAAGTGGTTCCAAACTTGCATACTTTAAGTATACTTTTTTTGTGCCTATTTTTACCCAAGATAGGTATGCCTAATCTGTACCTTATTTTGGTATGGGTTTAACCCTGGTGCCATGAATATTATATTTTGGTAGATTTTCTGGAGACAGTTTGGTTCTTGGGTCCGACATAATGCTTTTTGCCCAAGAACACAGTCAATATTAATGTATAATGTTACATGTGTGACATCAGAAAATTTTCATTGACAGACATAAAGCTGCTGAACAAACTGTTACTTGATCTGCTCTGCAGATACATGTACACTCATTTTTTTTTATACATTAAGGAAAATCACATAAATAACAACAATGAAAAGAATTCCTTACTCTCTGGAAAAAGTCTTCTGCATTCTCATCATTTTCATTGGAGCCTGAAATGAATTAATTTTCCAATTGAATAAAAGTTTTAATATTAACACTTAAAACATATTACTTCATTGTCTAAAAGACAAGAGGCCCATGGGCCTTATAGGTCAACTGAGTATCAACTGAAACAACATTCCAGAAAATTGACTTGGTTCGTGTTTTAAACCATAGACCTAAAGCGAAGGGACGGTCGACTTCTGACGTCACAATCACCATCTCCTTGCGATTGCAGCACCTTCACCATGATGCATAGAAACAAACTTCCTGTAATGAAATCAGTGTTGTCTCATCATGATTTCTTGCATTTTTTTTTTAGAAAATAACAACAAACTAGAGCAAAGAGTAGGTCTTCCATCCTTTTTGACCGGAAGTAATTGAATTTTTAAAAAAAAGAGCAATGACATCTCCAATTATTTCAATCCTCTAAATCGATGTTGATAATTGCAAAAGTAAGCCATTTCCTGCTTCTTCCGGTTCAACCGGAAGTGACGTAGATGGACGGAAAATAATGTTTTATGCTTTCAATGACAGATATTAATCAAAAACATGCCAAGAACGGCAAAAATATGCATTTTCTGACTACTTCCGGTTTGGCCGGAAGTGATGTCAGCAGATGTATTATGACGATCTCAATGAATTCTACTTGACATTGTAAACAAGTTTGCTTCTTTGACGTTTTACAAATTCTCAATACTTTCTGAGATATCGGGGGAAAAAAAATTGGCCCTTCTAGATCCCTTATTTTAGGGGCCAGCCCTTTTTTCGAGATATCATTTGAAAGATCGTGTATTTCTGCAAAAATTTTGTTCTATATGTATTAACAAAATATTTACAAGTAAAAAGATATCGTAGAGAAAATGTTAAAAATTTTGAAACTCTCAATATGACTTTTCTCAGGCCATACCGAGAGTTAACATGCAGTACTTTCGGTGGAAGTTAACTACGTTATGCAAATCTACATATGTTGCTCTATCATAGCTGAAATTTTCATGTTCATGTTTTAAGTGTTTTTCTTAAAAGGAAGTAAAATTAATGTCATTTGAAATTGTGAGATCAAATATCAAAACAATTTAGTTCTATTATTTTTTTCCCTTTACCAGCGTAAAAATTGAGGTGCATGTATCATGCTTTATAAACCACGAAGCCGTTTATAAACAAAAGGCCCATGGGTCACATTGCTCACCTGAGCAATGTAGCTAGGAAAAAAGCCTAAATCAGTTTATTTTTGTAAAGTTAAAACTCAAAAGTGGTTCCAACCAATCCTTAAAAGGGAGAGGGTATGACTTGAACAAGCTTGAATCTTCACTACCTAAGGATGCTTGCATATGTCTTTGACTACCTGTGGCTTTATTGCCCTTAACATTTGAACTTACATTCAGTGATTGGGAAGGCCAAAATGGTCAATGGGACTATGGCGCAACTGTCAACATTTTTGATGGACCATTTCTAAAATAAATGGGCCATCAATATAATCTGAAGGGCCGTTTTAAGAAATAAAAAAAGTGACAAACAAATATCAAATACGAGAGAAAACACCTTTTTAATTAACTGAATCGGACTTTCAACGCATGAAATGCAGCAAATTTAAAAGCACTTGCTTAGAATATAACTGACCCGAATTTTGTGTTTAAATTACAACAGTTGTGGAAAGGGAACAGCCCTACCATACAAATGAATGAAGTTATTGTACCTCATGCAAGTGCTTCGTTTAACCGGAAGTACGTTTTGACAGGTTTCAACCAATGAGATTTGTTGTTTTAAATTGACTGCATTTAAAACGAAAGTAAAACAAGGAAGAAAGTCGGACGCAAAATATTTCCAAATAACATCGCTAAAAATTGAATGCGCACCTTGGCGCCATGATTGATTGATTTAATGCGCCATTTTTCACTTCAATGCGACTATGGCGCGTGGCGCAAGCCCTTCCCAATCACTGTACATTGTGGCCCCACCCTACCCCCAGGGGTCATGACTTGAACAAAATAGAATCTACACTATGAATATGACTAATCATGGCTTTGCTATTCCTGAAAAAAAGATTTTTAAAGATTTTTTTCTACTTGTTTCTATGTAAAACTTGGATTCTATGTTGTGGCCCCGCCCTACCCCTGGGGGTCATGATTTGAAAAAACTTGAAAGTCCACTCTCTGAGGATGCTTCCATAAAAATGTGATCACTCATGCCTTTGCTATTCCAAAGAAGAAGATTTTTAAAGAATTTTCCTATATATTTCTGTGTGAAACTTTGATCGGCCATTGTGGCCCTGCCCTACCCCTAAGGGTCATGATATGAACAAACTTGAATCTTTAGTACCTGAGGATGCTTCCATAAAAATATGATCAATCATACCTATGCTATTCCAGAGAAGAAAATATTTAAAGAATTTTCCTATATATTTCTATGTAAGAAACTTTAATCGGCCATTGTGGCCCTGCCCTACCCCCAGGGGTCATGATTTGAACAAGCTTGAATCTACACTACCTAATTGAACAAGCTTGAACCTACACTACCTAAAGATGTTTCCCTATAAGTTTCATTTTTCCTGGCACAGTGGTTCTTGAGAAGAAGATTTTTAAAGAATTTTCCTAAATATTTCTATGTAAAAAATTGATCGGCCAGTATGGCCCCGCCCTACCACCGGGGGTCATGATTTGAACAAATTTGAATGTATACTACCTGAGGATGCTTCCCTATAAGTGTCATCTTTCCTGGCACAGTGGTTCTTGAGAAGAAGATTTTTAAACAATTTTCCTATACATTTCTATTAGGGATGTCAAAATTGTCAATAATTGATATTCGAATATTCGATAGAAGTATTCGAATATATTCGAATATTCGATAAAATAGATACATCTTGCATTATTAAATATATAAATCTTCACTCTCCTGTCAAGTAGTATAGGTTTTATGGCATTATTTTGAAATAAAAACTCAAGTAGAGTGCGGTAAATGCACTGCAATTATATATTTTTTTAATTATATTGAATAATATATATCCAAAATGTAATGATTGTTTTTTGAAAATTCAAGATTCTTTAGTATGTTCCAGATTAATTGATCGTCTTACTAAAGTCTACATCGATAACTCCTACAAACCCATACCAAGCAGAACAATTATCTAACGGTGAAACATTTACATCAATTACTTTTTGCTAATCTTAATTTCCTGATAATGATTTTAATGATATTTACATAAACAAAGGGTCCGTGTGTTTACTGTAAAACTTTGTCCTTACAACAATACAAGCTGATTGTAAGTACTGGACACTATTATACCACTAATTAAGTGAACAAATAAATAAACTACTAAAATGGATGCACTCTTCACACCTTTCAGGTAACCCAAGAGGAGTGTTTTTTTTATTTTGTACAAACTTGATTCAATTTCTAATAAAACTTGCCCGGCTTTTTTTTTTCTCTTTTTAATGCTTGTATACTTAAAAACGAATATTCGAATCATAAATTCATATTCGAATATCAACTCATCGAATGAATATTCGAATATTCGAATATTCGTTGACATCCCTAATTTCTATGTTAAAATTTGATCGGCTAGAGTGGCCCTGCCCTACCCCTGGGGGTCATGATTTGAACAAACTTGAATGTACACTACCTGAGGATGCTTACCTATAAGTGTCATCTTTCCTGGCACAGTGGTTCTTGAGAAGAAGATTTTTAAAACATAGCATCAAATTTTTACTATTTCTGAATTATCTCCCCTTGAATAAGGGCGTGGCCCTTCATTTGAACAAACTTGAATTCCCTTCACCTAAGGATACTTTGTGGCAAGTTTGGTTAAAATCGGCCCAGTGGTTCATGAGGAGAAGATGAGATGAAAATGTGAAAAGTTTACGACAACAACGACGACAGACGATGGACAAATTGTGATCATATATCCTCTTTTGATCAGGAAAGCTCACTTGAGTCTTTGGCTCAGGTGAGCTAAAAAGGTGAAATACTCATTGTATACAGGGTTATTTTTGCCCAATGTTATTTTCCCCTTTTACACTTGCTATTAGTTTTGCCCCATTTCAAATTCGCCATTCTCAGTTCTGTTTAAGAATTTTTGTTCCCCGCTTGAAAAGTGGGGGATATTAATTTGGGTCTGTCTGTCCGTCCGTCATTCTGTCTGTCTATAACGCTTTCATTCCACATGATATCTCAAGAACCCTTTGAGCTTTCGCAATGAAATTTTGCATATCCACCCCTGCGAGGTGAAATTCATAATTTCAGGAACTTTTATGAATCGTTCATGAACATTCATGATGTGTTCATGACTGTTTCATGACTGGTTCATAAAGATGGTTCATGAACTTTATTCATGAATATATTCATAAAATGTAGTTCATGAACAAATGATGAATATATATGAATATTGGTAATTTTCATTTTATTGACAGAAAAAATGTAGTGTTCAAGGTATTATGAATGTTCATGAATTTTTATGAAGACTAAAATAATTGACAAAAATGATTGACAGAAAACACTCAATACTCTCATAATACAACTTTTGCATGCAGATGCAATTGTTGAACAAGCCCCTGGTATAATTTATATTTAATAACATTCTTTCACCATCTGAAAAAATAAATCATGAAATCTCTAAACATTTCCTGTTTTAATTTGATTTTAATTAAACAAACACTGCATCACCATTGACAACATTTTTTTTTCAAATTCATTACTTGTGTTTCTTCATAATTTACATTAAACAGTTATATTCATCATAATGTGCTTTAATTAATGTCGTTTTTCATCACACAACCTTATTCGACCGAATTTTCTCTAACATCAAACTTTAAACAAGTTGTTGAAAAATGAAACATTCTGGAAAAAGAACTTTGTGAGCTTCGTAAAAAAATGTTTTATATATTTATTAACAACTAAAAAATTATATCACTTGTCTGTACTGTACCATATTATTCCTGGATCGAAACGCTATATCAGGTTGGGCACAGTTCCTTTTTCGGGGAAGTATTACTGTAAAAGGGAACTATTACTCTTT